ATGGAAAAGGCTTTTTCACTCAGAGTTAGCACTGGTAATCCAAGAGTTAAGAAGTTGATGTGTAAGTGGAATCGAGGTGATATTTAAACTAGCGGAGTGGTTAATCTTGGTGATAGAAGAGTTAAGATGAAAAAGAATAGGGGAGGAATGTTTAAAAGCAAATTTAATATGTCGAATAACATTGTCAAGTTTTTTGAGATTGGAGTGTAAATATGTTGCTTTTGAGGAAAGATTTGTTGGAAGTTACGGACTATACATTTTTTGTTAGGAATATGTTGTAGTGCAGCTGTGATAATACTAGTGTGAATTTTGTGCCAAGTTGTTTCAAGAGATTCAAAGGTATAAGTAAAACTAGGGGTAGAGTTAAGGTTAAGGTTGGAATTGACTTGGTTGGAGAATTCTTCCCACTTAGTATCAGACATAATTTTGTAGTTAAAGACTCTTCTACGTGTACATGTTTTATGTCTGCGTTGACCATGTTGGGTGTAGGGAAATGACCAACGAGAAATAAGGAATTTGTAGTTACTAAGGGAGCTGCTATCTGCATCATTAGTGCTAAAGTAAGTAAGATAGGTTAAGATAGTGTGATAGGCCTAGATGAAATCGATTTCACTACTATATCTTGAGCTATGCCAGGTAGGTGAAAATGAATTAGAGTGAGAGGCTAAATTGTAAATATTATTATAGGAGAGGTATTGGAGGAGTTTATATTTAATAGAGGTAGAATGAATGTTGTTAGTGGAGGCATTGAAGTCTCCAAGTGTAATAGGAAGTATGTAAAGTATGTGGGCTTCTTGTAACCATTGGATAATAGTGTTTTGAGTATTAAGACAGAGTGTAATATTGTCGTTGGGGAGATAAGTTGAAATAATACAGAATTTGAAATCATGTTTGAAAAACAAATCAATTAAAAAAGCATAGCCAGAGATAGAGGTTATTTTGTAAATATGGGGAGTTAAGGAGTTGCAGACCATAATGGCAGTTCCAGCTTTAGAACTATCAGTGCATAACCAGAAGTATGTATAGTGTTGGGTTTTGAGAGATTTGGAGATAAGATGACTATTAGCAAGTTTGGTTTCGGTAAGGCAAATTATATTCAAATTGTTGGATAAGTAGTAATGTTCCCAGACTTGTCATTTGAGATCTTGGTTAAAGCCACGGATATTGTAAGTACATATGGAAAGGTTGAGAGGGCTAGGTAGTTCAGGGTGTTGATAAGATTTATATGGTATGGGGGAAGAGGGTTTCGATTTAAGAGAAACATAGCAAAACCAGTTAAGAAGTTAAGAAAAAGGGGGTATGAAGTGATTAGGGAGTGGATATGTCTTATGTGAAAGATAGATATGTGCTTCAATATAGTTATGATTATGATCTTTGATATTTAAAATTGAAATTTTAATAAAGTCTGGTGAGTAATAGGAGGGGAAGTCAGGTCTGATATATTGAAGAAAGGTAAAAATAGTTTGAGGGTGTTCCAGTGGTAGTAGCCTATAGTAAAAGAGAAACTTGTTATAATATGTAAGGGGGTTTATAGGGCCTAGATCCTCAGTTATTTGTGTAATAGTTTCGAGTTGAGGATCATCAAGGTTGTGTAGTGAATTATTGTCTGGGTCAGAATCTGGAAATAGTTCATTGTCAGAGTTGAAATTTGTAGGAGGCTGATCGATTAGGTTTTGGAGAGGTAATATTGGTTGTGGTTCATAGGGGGCTAATGATGTTGAAGATGAAACCACATGAGAAATGTCTTCTACAGCGATCACCATATGCCTGGCTTGCATGGCTCCGCAAGATTCAGAAGCCCTCAGATTAAGTGTTAGAGGATCGTCATTATCTGGATCTTCCGGGTATTTTGCTAAATATATATGTTTGTCATAGAACTATTATATATATAGCTATTATATAGCTACAATATTATTAAAGTTATTAGATGATAAATATGTGTTAAACATATATTAAAAATATTTTAAAAATATTTTTGTATTCTTTTAAGTCACTATTAACATGATTAATATCATATGGATATAATATTTTTTTAATTATCCAATCTAATAAACATAATATTACTAATATCTTAACACTTAATAATATGATAAAAAGATAGTAGTAGTAATTTAATAGTAATTTAACAGAATAAAAATATTTAAATTATATTCTTATTATATAACAAACATATTTAGCAAAATCAAAGGTTTCTGCAAAGTATTCGATCTATTTGCCTGTTGATTCAAATGATGCTTTAAAAAATGGTAACAACCCTTTTTTGATTGGTAGAAGTCTTCTTTGTATTTCAATAAGCTTTGCATGAGATTTTGGACTTTCATTTGTTCTCTTAAAAACTCGATAGTAACATATGCTGTATCTATCACCGGTCAGATTTTTCATGAGCCGAACCGGATAAATGATCTCGTTTTTCTTTGGGCCAGTGTTGGCACATTTATCAATTGGGACGAATGGAGAATTGCTCCATTGGAAATATTGCAAATGATTTATGAATGAAGCCAAATTAAATATATATGTATATATTTGAAAATTCTTATAATAAAAAATGGACGATAACGATAATTTTTGAATTTGTAGCATCAGATGATTTTTTCATATTTGGGTTCATAACGTTTAACTTTTATCGGTACTATATTCAGTAATGGTGAGATATACTTTTTTTTATTTATTATTTTGATCTTGGTTCTAATTAAAGTTTACTCAAAACCCGGTGGTTTTCCTAGTTCGTTTCTCAAATTATCTAAGATACATTGCATATGGGATCTTTGCTATCAAAATGACCCTCCGAGGCTATGTTGATTTTGTGAATAAAAATTAAATTTACCAGCCAACTAGTTATCCAATTTGAATGAAAACTTTTTAATTTGTAGATTCTATCGAGATTTACAAAACAAAAAAAAGTTTATTCAAATTGGATTACTTGATAGCTGGCAAATTTAATTTTTATTCACAAAATCAACATAGCCTCGGAGGGTTATTTTGATAGCAAAGATCCCATATTGTCTCATTCATCATCTTATCTATCAATACCATCGTAATTATTCTTGCTTCACATGATGATAATCACAAGTATCTAGTTACTTTCGTTATAAAGATTACGAATTCTCGAAATAACAGGTCATTACTCGATCACCTGATCGTTATTTCGAATACGCTCATGTGTGTTATTTCGAGATATAGAGCCATTTCAAAAACCGATTGTTACTATTATAAATTCACCGACATATTACACGAGGTGCACGTTATTTCGAGACGCGCATGGACGTTATCTGTTATTTCGAAACTTACTATGATATTTTTAGGTGCGCAATTTTCGAAATAACGTTCTGCGAGAATTTATAGTAACTATTGAAATTATTTAACCGCATATAAAATTTGCATCGTAGTTAAGGCAAAATGCTGTTAGTCGTTAGCCCCAAATTTTTTTAGCTAAACACGGTTAAACAATTTAGTTGATAAAAATTTTTTTAGGCAGTCTCTATTCCTGATTATAAACTTTTCAATGTGATGAATAAAACAATTTAAATAAAGAATTCAAATATGTCTATAATTTTAAAAATCTTTTATATAGGATTAAATTAAGCACGGACTTTGGATGTGCCTAACTACTATCGAAATTCAATATTCTAATTTTATATTTGCAACACGCGAAAGATACCCAGCTTATCCACCTGGGTTATCCGCGAGTCCACCCGCCGGATCATCAGGTCACGATTTTTTAGACGAGTTAAATCACCTATCTCCGGGTTCACCCTCACCTTCAACATCTTGCGGAGCTTGTTGCGTTCCACCACCGGATTTTTTCTTTGAAATACCAGATACAATATCATCAACTCGAAGGAGCAAGCATGCCGACTAATAACGTAAATATGGGAAATTAAAAATGCAATACCAATAATATGAATAATATGCAGATATATATATTTTTTCTTTACCTCAATAGCAGTCTTAATTGTTTGAACTTTGACAGCATGTGGCTCCCAAATACCATATTCGTTCATGTCGACAATATTTCCGGCTAGGCCATCAATTCCCCACGTATGATTTCCAGTAGCATGTTTAGCCTACAGATTTTTTGTTGGACATTATTGTTTTGTGTGTGTGTGATATTTATATGTAAATTAATTAAAATCACTAAGAAATACAGTAATATTACCCTCAATTGAGTTAACACTTTAATAGCATTGCCACCACAATTTTGAACCAGCGTTCTCGGGATGACCTCTAAAGCATCTGCAACGGATTTGTATGGCCATTGTTCAACACCCTCTAATGTTTTTGAATTTTCAGATAACTTTACACTTATAGCCATCTCTGTTGCGCCACCTCCTGGCGCTAAAAGAGGGTTGAAAAATACATTTCTTGCAACACACATTGCATCTTGAAGATTGCGTTCTAACTCATTTAAAATATCTTTTGATGGGCCTCGAAGCAAAATTGTGCATGCTTTGGGATTTTTGCATTTAGTAAGAAAAGTAAAGTACCTTATGTTCAAATAACAATAACGATGACATCAATACATGAAAGTCAAAAAAAAGAAGTCTTTTTGTGAAGGATATTGAATTAATACATACTCATCACCTATTTTATCAACAACAAATAAGCCACACTCAGTACCCACATCCTCTTCCTTTAATTCATCAAGTTGATTCACAATGGTTGCGCCAACAGCACGAGCAATTCGATTATTATCAGTCTTACGGACACGGCGAATGGCTGATATATTTGCCTTCCATAGGTAGTGTTGTGCAAGATCTGTGTTATTGTTATAAAATTAGTTTTAATGAATTAACTATAAAAATTTGTGGCGTTGAATTTCATTTACCAGAAACACCCTTTTCAGTAAATACAAGATCAGGTTTAACAGATATAATCTTATCACACATTTCTTTTATTTGTTCTTCTTCGATTTGTAACAGTCTATTCCAATGACTCTCGTCAGAAATCTCTGCAGAAGTTTGTGATTCACCTTTTTTGTATTCAAGTGGACAATCTAGAAGGACAATCCGAGGACTTTCAATACGACGACGCATGCTGGCGTGTGTAACATCTTTATTAAGCATAATGCCGTCTAAAACTTTAGAATCTTCTATTTCGCCACCAGGAACCTAAAAATAAATTCTTAGTCAAAATTCGTAATTACGAATGTCAATACACGTGACCTAACAGTAAATAACACCTTTTCAACACGAGCATAACGTTTAATATCAACTTCACGCTTTCCGTTTTCTTCTCTAGCTACAGTCTTTACAGCATCCAAAGCTAATTTACACATTAAATCACTCCATTTGCTCGCAAATTTTGTACCAATAGAACTTTTTATTAAATTTAACATTTCTCCTTGATCTTCAATATTGACGGATTTTGAAATTTCATCAATGGTTTTTATAGCATCTTCAAGAGCCTTTTTAAATGCGGAAATAATAACAATCGGATGTACATTCCGTTCAAGGTATGGAAGTGCTTGTGCAAGAACTTCACCGGCTAAACTTCCCAAATTAAAAATATATCAACGTCTTTTCTAATGTTTATATAAAATTAATGAGTATATAAATCTTTAATTCGTACCAAGGATAATAACACTCGTTGTACCATCACCAACTTCTTCGTCCTGAGTTCGGCTTAACTCAATCATGCTTTTAGCAGCCGGATGTGCAACTTCAACTTCACGAAGAATGGCATTACCGTCATTAGTAAGGACAACACCGCCCATTGGATCAAGAAGCATCTTGAGCATAGAACGAGGACCAAGACAAGTACGAATGATATCTGCAACAGTCTATGTTCCAAGAAAAAATAAAAGAATGGTAATCGTGTCAAATTCATAGCAAATCCATAAAGAAACAATATTCGGAGTTGATCAATCAGAAAAAACTATCAAATAAATCATTAATCTGAACTGCATCCAAAGTTATTCACGAAAATCATACTTTAGCTGCTGTAATATTGGAAACCTGAGCTTTCCTCCCGGTCTCCCTTTCTACATTTGTGTCTAGGAGGACAAGCATTGTTGTAAGTACAAGTGTGCGTGTCTCAAAGTATAAAATGCAACATGCGTACTCATAACAATCACGGGAGCCTGCATTCTGATTATGTTATTTTGATAGCAATTGATAAAATTATTTTATGATCCTTTCTTATACAGTATATAATCCTATTATGGGCAAACTTTGATTGGTTTATTACAGCAGTAGTACAGCAAGCATGATGAAAGTTCGGTTTGATCCAGATCAAACATGATTGGTTGGTTATATGAAATCGTAAATTTGTCAACGATAATCTATATCGATTATGTCGCAGATCACTTGTAACGATAATGTCTCTAAGGGCAATTGTATATGTTCGCGATCCACCGTCACTCGAAATCTTAAATCAACTTCTCCTTCCACATGAAACAGTATACGAGTCAGTAACCACGGTTCAGCAGGGCTATGAACAAATCAATCGAATGAAAGTTCGTGGTGCACCTGCAATAGGAATCGTTGCTGCGTTAACAATAGCAATAGATCTTCAACTAAAGCTTCAAACTTTCAACAAAAATCCTAATGCATTAGACTCTGATACTTTAAATATGTTGAATTCTCCTTTATTACTTGGCAATTTTATTCGCGGTTCTTTAGACCATTTGAATCAATCACGTCCGACTGCTGTCAACTTATTTCGGACTTCAGATATTTTATGGGAGGTTACAAGTTCTGGGATAAAAAAAAATCTTGGAGCAAAACAGATTATCGAAACTTTGGTGGATACGGCAGTACAAATGATGAATGATGATTTAATTGATAATAACAATATTGGGAAGTATGGTGCTGAATTCATTTTAAGAAATGGTGATAAGAAAATCTGTGTAGTTACACATTGTAATACTGGGTAAGTAATGATAATTCAAAACTGATCGAGAACGAAATTGAAATTTTCTTTATCTAAACTTAAAAATCTTTTTTAAGATCCTTAGCTACATCTGGATATGGCACTGCGCTTGGTATAATTCGTCATCTCCATACTCATGGAAACCTCTTACACGCATATTATACAGAAACTCGCCCTTATAATCAAGGTTCACGGTTAACTTCCTATGAATTATTACATGATAAAATTCCCAGCACCCTGATCTGTGATTCAATGGTATCTGCTTTGCTCTCTTCTCATTTCTCATCCAAAAAAGTTGATCATAAAATTACTGCTATAATTGTTGGGGCAGACAGAGTTGCAAAAAATGGTGATACCGCCAACAAAATCGGTACATATCAGTTAGCAATAACTGCAAAATATCATAATGTGATGTTTATTGTAGCTGCACCAAGTACAAGCATTGACTTAAAGATTAAAAATGGTCGAGATATTATAATTGAAGAAAGAAGTGAAGATGAAGTTGTTTTTGTTAATGGATTGATAAAACAAGATGGAATTGAAAAATATCAAATGAGAAAAGTCAGAGTACCACCTGAAGGTGTTAAAGTTTGGAATCCTAGTTTTGATGTGACACCAGCTGAATTGATTACTGCTATTGTTACTGAGAAAGGTGTAGTTGAGAAAGAAAAAGATGAAAAAGAATTTGATTTAGAAAAATTTTTGATAAGCCAAAACTAATTAGTAATAGAGTTTATTGTAAAGCAAATTGTATTATTAAATTAAGATTGCTGATGTTCATATCTTGACTTGGTAATTATTGACAAAAGTTTTAAAAAATTCAAAATTAAAAGCAAGACTATTATATCGGGAAATAAATATGGTACAGATTTGCAAAGATTTGTGACTCTAGAAATTTTTAACAAAATTTACAATATCTTATAATCCAGTGATCGGTTTAAGTACCATTCGATTCATCTTAATAAGATGAATCGAATGGTATTAAAATTGTTGAATTTGATTATTGAATCAAAAGATAATCATGGTAAGTAAATTTTGCAAGCATCAAATGATCTTACTACTAGCAGTTTAAATTTAATAATTTTGGTACCATATTTTACTATCTTTAAAAAATTTTTTTTATTTCTTTTAATTACAATTACAGATCTCTTTTTTATATATTTCTTGTATATTAGCATTTAATATTGCAAAGCTATATACTTATATTGTTTACAATATAATTATCTAACTTTTTTTATTTTTATAATTTTTTAACCTTTTTTTTTTGGTGTTAAGGTGATCTCTATGGCAGGGGCTTTTTATTAGATAATTAATAATGTTTACAATTCTGATGAGGGTACAACTAGCCACACATGCAACTTTTGATTATCTATTTAAGTGGTCTACCTAGATTTTACACTAGCTGCCACACCTACAATCTAACTAGAAAATTACCTATTTAAGCTCTTTGGCTTTTACAAGCAAGTGTATGACTAGCCATATCTACAACTTTTGGTTGCCTATTTGAGTAGTCTGTTTTAGGTTTTACACTAGCTGCCATATCTGTAACCTAACTAGAAGGTTACTTATTTAAACTTTCTGGTCACAACCGGCCTGTTATTTCTTACCTAACCAAGATGTAATTTATTATTTATATGCTAGATTTTGTGCCATCTGTAGATTTCACACCCTACCTGGGACTACTTTATCTTCAAGATAAACCTAACAGAGCAGTATATGTTTCATACATATATTTACCTGCCTGTTTAGTAACTTTTTCTTAATTTAATACCTGTTGTATTACTATTACCAAGTTCATATCTCAAGCTATCTTTTAGAATATTGCCATAATCCGATCTGTATTTCAAACCACAACCTTCTTATTTTAGTAGTTGTTATATACTTCTTGCTTTTGTATTTGGGTTTATACAATTCCAGCACCTATATTTGAACTTCTTTTTTCTTCAGATTTTTTACTAGTTTTTTCCTTACTTCTAGCTAGTAACTTGAAAAGTTGATCTATCTAGATCTTAGATGTCTATATGGTTTTTCTTCCCTTAGTACATATTTCCAGAGCACATGTTCTTTTTCTTTGATTTGGCGACCTAGCAGTTTGCTAGTATATCCTCCTACTTAAAGACCTGGTTGCTCAGTTCTTCAATCTTGGTTCTTGGTTTCAAATTCGGTTTTCCTGTAGTATTGCCAAAGATTGCACTACTTCTCAACTTGGAACTTGCCAAACAGGTCTTCAGTTATTTCAGTATTTTGTTTATTATATCAGAACTCCTATTCTAGATAGTATAATCCAGATTATAGATTTTTAGATTCTACTAATCATTAAATAGCCATTAACTGTATCACAGTGCTATTTTTTAAAATTTTATCTGTGAGATTTGAACTCTAGACCTGCTATCTAGGGGTGCGACAACTCTACTACTTTACTAAGTTGCTATACTCTCTAATTTTTTAACCTTTTAATTATTACTATATACTTTTTATATATTTTTTTATTTTTTTTATTTAATACTATATTATTTTTATATATATATATATATTTGGTATTAAGATGACCTCTATGGCCTGGGAACTTTTATTAAATACAACATATGTTTTTATAATTACAATGAGAATATATCAAATCACACATGCAATTTTTTTTTTTTTTTATAAAATTCGGCAGTCTTGCCTTCACTTTATTAGGCTTTGTAATAATTCTCTAAACTTCCAAAAAGTTAAACTCTTTGGTACCTAAATTACAAGTAAAAACTTACCCGATTGTTCACTAAGTACCTATATGTGATCTGCTATAATAAGATTTGTCTCTGTATTACCTTATCCTGTATTTGGCTTTGATAGTACTTTAACAGCAGGCCTTACTGCTTGTCAAGACTACAAGTTAACTTTCTACCACTCTGAACATTGACTACTTTTAATCTAACTTAGTACTTCTTTCTTTGAAATTTCTAACACCAATTCCTACCTCGTATCCTTTTCTTTCTTCTTACTTTTTCCTTTATTAGTTTCTTTTGAAGAGTTTACTTTGGGGCCTTGTTTTTTTTTCTCCTTCTCCTTGTTTCTTTTCTTGAACTTTTTGTAAAACCCTTTCTTTTCTCTTGAAGCGATGCTATTTTTTTTTTTCCATTCTTATACCAACTTGCATCTTGGGATCCATATTTTTTCATACATTTTTTTTATCTAATTTTTTCAAAGTTTTATA